TGCCAAAAGACTATAAAGTTCATTTATATATGAATAACAGATAATTCAGGCTTCAAATATTCAACAAATTCCCAGTTATTTTAAAAGTACAGTACATAGTATATTAATGAGTTACAAATGTGCTGTGTTACAACTTAATATTGTATAAGAATATGATAATCAAAGGATTTAAATATCTTTTGAGAACAAAAGTTATTGTTGTTTGTTAAATGGACTAAGTCCACACAAAACGTGTATAAACACACACACAAGCAATAAACTCATAACTAGCTTAGAGGTGCATGAAACTTAATACTTCTTATGCACAAATTAACACAGGCTCAAACATCCTTCAAACTTTTAGTCGTGTACCTTGTATGTGAGTAAAAAGTTAATCAGTGTTTAGATAATTAATTAAGCTCAAAGTTAGCTTGTAACTTAATGAATTGTGCTTCTGGTTAAAAGATGTACAATATGGCAAATCAAACAAAATAGGAACATTTCTGGCCTATACATGTTTTACAACTGGTCACATCTTACCCCTTTAGCATCTGGTAGCTTGAATGCTAAAGGGGTAAGATGTGACCAGTTGTAGAACATGTATAGGCCAATGTTCTTATTTAGTTTGATTTGCCATATTGTCAAAGGTACCAGATGCTAAAGGGGTAAGATGTGACCAGTTGTAGAACATGTATAGGCCAATGTTCTTATTTAGTTTGATTTGCCATATTTGGTAGCTTGAAAATATGGCAAATCAAACTAAATAAGAACATTTCTGTCCTATACATGTTCTACAACTGGTTTTCATATTTACCCCTTTAGCATCTGGTAGCTTGACAATTCCTCCAAATTTTTCTTCACACAAATAGTGAAATAAATTCTGAAAAAGAAAATATACTTTACATTTGTTTTTATACACTAACACATTAGATAAATGCCATTAAAAACAACAACAATGAAACAAATAAGGAAGTTAAATGTTTATATATCTATCTACTAACTAACAGTCCAATATATAACATTACGTTTTATGTGAAAAGTTCGATAAGTGAAAAGGAATTCTGGAACCAGGACTTGAACCCTGGACTTCTGGCTGTCACAGCTAATACTCTACCACCAAACCATCTTTTTTAATTAATGTTTTTTTTTCAAACAAAATTTAACGTTAAATATTATCCTTTCATTGTTTCCTAATTGAATTTAAAAACCAATTTGTACTTGTTTGTTTGTTTGTTGTTAAACACAAAGCTACACAATGTGCTGTGCCCATCGTGGGTATCAAAACCTGGCTTTTTAGTAGATAAACCTTAAAGACTTACTGCTGAACCACTGGGGGGGTATCAGTTTGTAAGTCTGTGATAGGTTTCTTATGATTTGGTCACATGCACCTATCATAGTGTAGTATGTTGGTTATGCTCACAGTGGGAAGCTTCGTGCGTGAGAACTGAGAAGGGATGGCTTGTTTTCTTGGACAGCTCACAATAGTAGAGCACTGGCCTTGGATTCAAGTCCCTGTCCTGGAGTATCTTTTCATTTTCTGGCTTTTTTACATAAGAATCATACTTACCTCATGTAAACAAGTGTATTGCACATGGTAAGGAGCTACCTTTTCTTCTCCCTTGATTTCTACACTAATATGGAGACGTATAGCACCTGACACAGCAGACTTGTCTGTTCTTTTCTCTGGAAAATTCAGACAGAAAATTATCATTTAAAATACAAAATACACACAAAATAATGACAGTTTATTAAAAAAACACAAAATATTATATGCATAAAGTCCACAGACCTACAATGTTCAAGTAAAAACATTTATCCTACTTTTCTTAAGGTGTCTTACTTGGCTTTCTTTTTTATTATATTTGCTTTCAGAAAGATTTATTAAGTGTATTGATTGATCAAGCATAGAAATGTTAAGAGTACAAAACTGATAATTAATTACAACTGGAGTAAATCACAGATAAGTAATAGATACCTAGGTTGTACCAAACATCCATTTCTCCACTCAAAGTCCTCACTTCAATGATAGTTTGCCCTAAAAAGTCATCACTTTCTCTGGTAAGTTTCTGACGTAATTTGGATTTCAAGTCATTGTCCTCATCCCTGGTAATAAATCATCATCATAAGAATTGGGATAATATTGCAATACAGGCAGTTGGTTAAGTTTAAATTAAGCTAAAGCTAAGGATAAAAAATTAACACAACATTAAAGTTATAAACAATAATTATAAGAAAAATAAAGAATGGCTACTAATTTGGTGAAAGCTAATAACATTTCGTAGAATAATTTTTATAAATGGTGATATTTTGTGGAACAGGTGAGAATCATGAATAGGTGGATGCATAAGTGTTTTATGAACTGAGAGTACACAACTAGTACAAAACTACAAGTGATGATATTCTAACCTCAAAAAAAAAGAAAGAAAATTATTCAAGCAAACATTCAGGAATCAAAATTGGTCTCAATTCTGTCTTTAAGCTTAAACACGGCTAAGTAGGAAAAAGGGATGAAACTGGTTTCTTAGTTTATGTGAAAATATTTTGTTCTAAAGTTGGGATTTATTTTTTGTGTCAGTCTAGCTAACATACATGTTACTGTGTATTTTACAATACTTATATACTTGATTCTTTGCACTGAATGCTTGTCTACCAGTAGAGATAGTAACAGAATCAGTGTCAGTTCTTCTATCTCAACTTATTGGGAGTGATTTGTAAATTGTTCCATCTTCCTTTCATAATCGTCATTGTAAAAATAAAGAAAGTTATATATATTTGTGATAACCTGAGATGTTAAAATAGTTCCTTGCTTGCTTCTGCTGGTGAATTTAACTCCATTCTTTTGGTGAGGTTTTTTACAGTAAAAGACAAAAATGTGTTTGTTGTTAAGAACAAAGCTACACAATAGGCTATCTGAGCTGTGCCCACTACAGGTACTGAAACCAGGTTTTTAGCATTATAGGCTTTGAAACTTACCATGTACTGAGTCACTAAGCCTCACAAATAGTGAACAGTACACACAAACAAACCAATAATTTAACATTTAAGATCTTTGCCAAAGGCCAATAAGTGAATGTAGGTAACTACATGTAACCTCCTCTTCTCTCTGTATATATATATATATAATCTGTTATAAAACACTCCAAGCCAAATGACCCATTTATCTTTAAATTCGTTATTAAAATTATAATATTGACTAATTTCCAATGTAACTTACCATATATAACAACATTTACCTTACATTACAGAGTTAACATATCAGGATTAACTCTTCTAAATTGTAAATAATATTCACATATGTCAGATGAACATATTAAATTAAACTGTGTAATAACAGTTGGAAAAGACAGATAATAGTCTGAGTATTTCTGTCTTTGTGGTTTCTTCGCTCAAATGATGCCAAAGATAAATTTTATATGAAAATTCTGTTAATGAAAATGCAAATGTGTATGATGAATGGCAAACCCAAACAAGAAAATATTAAAACAAAGCTACAAAATGATAAAATATAGAAATGATATATATATATTTTTTGGTCCATGCAAGATTTTTACTCAACAATAAAAGGCTCCTTAATACTTACCATACACGAACTTTGATACGATCAGATGAATTGTGGCATTCACTATCAGAAGAAAAACAAAAAAAATAATTCGCAGGTTGTTTCTGTAAGTACTTGTTTGTTACTTGTCAGTTTCTACAAACGTTTTTGAGTTGATGATTTTTTTTGACAGATATTCAAACATAAGATTCTAACTTTTAATTTGTACTATGTTTATACCATATTAGAATATTTTTCCCCAAAAATATACTGTCCTTACAATTATTTTGTATAGATGGTTCATTTTGTTATTAGACATTTCATTATAGTTACAGGAAATACAGTATTGTGTTTACTATTTATACCATATCTAATTAAATTGTTTATCACTGTTGATCACACAGAGGTTTTATTCTGCTGTATATTTAAAAACATTAAAATTTTTACCAAGAAGTTGTCTACTAGAAAAAATTCCAACACTGTCTATTTCAATTGTTTAGACAAATCATAAACATCAGCCTTAGTGGTTCTATTGGTCCACCAGCTGTCAGTACTTAACACACAACATATGACAACCGAGAAAAAACCAGAAACAAGTAAAATCACTAACCATTACCATTCACCTCAAATATCCAGTACAGTTTATATACGTACAAGTAAAATTTTTCATTCCAAACAGGGTTGAGATCTTGTGGCATGGTGCGTGTGCGCTTTTTGGTTTTCCCAACTTGGACGGTCACGTATGGGTCACTAGTCCCACTTTTGTCTTTGGCTATAAGGCCTTGAGCACAGATAACTGTAACATAGTTTATGTATTTATCAATGAGTTTTTACCTTTAAGTGCTTGCTTAGTACACACATGTGTAGCAAGATTTATGAATCTATGGGAATAAAGTTTCAATCTTACCATTATATATATTTTGTTTCATGTTTGTGTGTTTTACATTTTTTGAGGTTTCGTACCAAAGTATGTCAAACGTCTTCATCAAAGGTTTTTTTTAGGTGAACAATAAATACACTGCTAATACTAGGAAGTAGAAAATACTACTTTTCAAAGTAAAGATCATATTACACATTTTACAGTTGCTTATATCCAATCAACTCCTGCTAAATACAAGTTCAAAGTCTGTAAATCTGTGTAAATTTCAGAAAAAAAAACAACTTAAACTTTCTTAGTATCTCTTAGAATATTATCTTGATTATAAAATATGATGTTCATAATTTTTTTTTTCAGTTCTTGTAGTTCTGATAAGTTTGACAATTTAATATTAAATGAAAAATTATATTAGTTTTACAGTCTGAACACAGTTTCAACATAAAGTTTCTAAACCCACACTTACTCTTCGGAACTCTGTGTCGAAGAACAATTACACAATACACTCAGAATTTTCAATTTGACAAGTAGGATTTAGGTTCTGCATTAGAATATAAGCAATATTGTATAAAAGAATCTTCGGAACTCTGTGTCGAAGAACAATTACACAATACACTCAGAATTTTCAATTTGACAAGTAGGATTTAGGTTCTGCATTAGAATATAAGCAATATTGTATAAAAGAAATGAGGTATTTTATGAAAAACTTGAATAACAATAAATATTGAAATATATGTTAAATAGCTTTGGAAATATAAAGTATATAACAGCTAATGATACTTAAGCCTCATTGCATTTCTTCAAGTGCTATCACATATCTGAAATCTGTTGCAGAAAATTGACAATTCAAATTAAAACATACTTTTTTATGGATTAGATTGAACTTTATTCAATTATGTAACCATAAAATCTTTTTAAATTCCATTTGCCATACAATTGTAATAATATCAATTTCAATGCTAGCTTAAGATTGAGCAATAAACTTAATTCCCTTCATTCTGTATCTGCATCAAAATTGTTATTCATTCCATACTCCCAGATACAAAATCAAACAATAAAAGAATGGTCTATAACATATTATAACATACATCTATATTTAAAATAAAAACTATTCTTATGCAAATAAATATTCATTACATAAACTCCAATAATATATTATTAAACATGTACAAGAAAAGCTCATAACATAACAGTTACCTTCCTTCACCGTCTAAGCCAGAATCAAAAGTCAATAAAAGGATTTTTATTTATTACATACACCTATATCCAAATTTGGCAAACTATCAATTATTATTATATATATTTTATACTCAAATGTCATAAAAGTCTCCCATTCTATATATCTAAGTAACTGTCAGAAAATAGAAAATTATTGAAATTATCATCCATACTGCACACCTTAATCAAAACCTACCATTGTTTTTACAGTCTATATTTAATCCACACACCAAATTCAATTTAATAAGATATAATTCATCATCTTACATTCTGTACTCTTAAGTGAAAATTAAAAATATAATCATCATTCTTTCTGTGCACTTAAGTCATTGTGTAAAAGCATTAAATTATCATTTATCATGGATTAAAGTTACATGCATAATAACCATCAGAACACCCCTAATGAAATTAAAGTTTTATCATCCACTCCAAGGTTACTAATACCTGCCTCTATTAAAGTACAATCTATTCCATGCAGTTCAATACAGTAATTATGCACCTGAACAAAACTAGAAATCTACTTTTACTACAACTAAATAAAAGTGTAAAGAACATATAAGCAACTTTCCATTCAACATATCCAAAACAAAATACAGGTACACCTTATTCAAAGCCCACAGATATAGCAATTATCATCAATTCTATGCAACTAGATTAAGGCCTAAAATATGATATGTGTGTATATATATATATATATTTTGTATGTCTAAACTGAATTTTACCAAAATACAAGAACAATTGGGCATTTTGAAAGTTAGCAATAACTGGAAATTAGTATTTTTCAAGTCAGAGTAACAAGGCATAAAGTATAATTATAACTATTCTAACAGTTTATAACTGACTGCTTCAGTAAGCATCACACTTAGGAATTAATATTTTCAAGTCATAGTAACAAAGCATATTTACCTGCTGTAACTCAAATGTTTGAGACACGAAAGCACTTTGAGGCTAAACCATGTTAACATACATAAAATATCATAAAATGTACCCTTGCCATTATTGGAAATTATTTGATTTGTTTTAAGGCCACTATAAGATCATTACAAATGACTTATCTTAAATAAGCTCTATGCAGCCTGGATAAAATTTAATGAATGCTCAAAACAGGTTATCAGTATGACACATGTTTAACAAACTAAATAAAATCTTTTTTCTAACTTTCCGGAAGCCAACATAGGTTATCATACATGATAAAAAGTATCCAAAATAGTACCTGTTTTTCAGTTTATATGTAGCCACGAAACATAAATTACAGCAGAATAAGTCAATCAAACTGTTAATTTTCAATGTAGATTTCCACACATGACAAATACCAATCAAGCTCCAGCCAACACAAATTCCAATATAAAACTAACTTCAAACTGTTAATAGTCTACCTAGCTTACTATACATAACAAAACATATTAAATCAAGCTCCAGCCAACACCAAGAAAAGGTTCTTTATACATGATATGCAGCCAACATACATTACCAAGCAGACAGAAGAAGAAGTCTACCTGTAATAGCAATCTTGGCCGACCACTTGGAAGTTCCTTCCATCATTGACTGTTCAGCCTGCTGCAAGGCATCTATGTGCGTGTCAGGATCAACACCAAAGGTCAGCCTGCAACACCACAACGTCACAACTACTACATCATGCAACAAAAAACATGTTCAGAAACAAGATGCCAGCACAGTAACACTTCACAATACAAGAACACTGCACAATTACAATAGGCACAGTTCGCGAGGCACAAGAACAGATAGGTACAGCCCATGTAACCTACCAGTTATGGCTATTTTGGCTGACCACTTGGATGTTCCAACCAATACACTTTGTTTGACAGCCTTCATATGGCCAGCATGACTTTTTATATCCACACCAAAGATGTCCCTGTATTTAAATGGGGCAATAAGATTTTTAAAATAAAAATAAACCATCATCTCATGAGCCAGGATTATGAGTGGTTTTAAAAACATGAAGCAACTGGATCTCATACATGTACAGCCTGAAAATTATATAAATTACTTTTTAAATAAAGACTAAAATTTAAACATTTTTGAATGTCTGTATAATAAACAGAGTTAATGGAGCATAATAAGATGTAGCATTCCTGTTAAAACTATCAATTGTTCTTGATCATTTATCAATAAGTTAAAGAGCATTGGTAAATAGAGTAAATATAATTTCTTATTTCAGTTTCATAATCAGTTTACTTGATTTATTAAAAATCCACAGAACAAATAAGAACTCTTGTTTACTTACATTTACATAAAACAAAAATACATGCAATTGCTCCAATATATATATATATATATATATATATATTACAGTTTATGCTAAAATAGGAAGGGTATTAGGTCATACTGGGCTACAAAGCCTGTATAATGGCCATTAGATACTTGCAGCTTCAGGAAAAATCACCTCTTTTCTGTAAGTGGTTAAAGTAACTTGACGGAGAATTTATTGCACACTCGTTAAAACTGTTTTGATACTATCCAATGGAAAGCTGATTTAATCACTTAATTTATATTAGAGATCTATACATAAAGTAAACCATAATACCTTGCTAATAGTATCTTTAACTCATCAATTAGAACCTCATGTATTTAAACTGACAATACTTAAAATTCAGTTTCATATATTATCAGAATATGGGTTTCACTGCCACGTGTGAGCTGGTATTTTTCTTTATTGTGGAATAAAACTGTAGTAGAACCATGTGCTTGAAATAGATGTTTTCTGGACATGACAAAAGAAGTTGTAAGTGGGTGTGTCAATAAATGGTACTCTACGCTGAGGATTAACTGATTTTTTATAAAAATAACATTCTTAGAATGACAAAATAAGTAATAAATATTATATCAGCACTTTAAATAAAACAAATTTCAAATATTATATATATATATATATATATATATACACATACACACACACACACATGCATACATACATACTTACCTCTCAAATTATTCCATACTCATTAATTAAACATAATGTAAAAAAACAAAAAACATAATACCTTTAATAGCATAAATAATTTTTGTTTTTTCTAGCCACTCCTGACGTCTACTCTTACTGTCTATAATACTATTTTACATAACAACTGTGTTATGTGACCAATATTTTTGTAAAGTTTCCTACTCATACTTTCACCAAAATTATGGACCTCACAGTAAATAATAAACGTTTTTCAAATTAAAAAACGTACATTGTAGTTAATTCCAGATTTCCCTTGTAAAATTTATTTTGTTCTGAATTAATTTTTTTTTAAACAAACAAACACTACAGTAAATTAAAAATAATATTCTTTCTTGTACAGTGTAAATCAATTCACTTTGGTAAAAACACCAATACCATGATGAGCTGAAGAAGCAAAGTTCTGAGTTATACAATTTCTCATCAACACAAAAGAGTAGATCATACAAAATGTGACATTAATGAATTTTAGTATGATTTTAAGGTAGTGAAGACATTACAGTGTAATTTTTTGTTGATTGCTCATAAATCCAGTCCTGTCTCTTTATTTCAAGACAGTGTTTGAAGATGTTAAGCTCTCCAGTTAAAATAATAACTCCTGTTTTCTTAACCTTCTTTCAGTTTTATAGGTTCTATTATAAAACATATCTTAAAATATTAAGACAATTTTCCCCCACTCAAATTCTCATAAAGCTCCATTGTGTAACATGTTTACCTTTCACCTAAATAGACTGATCTAAGCTTAATGATACAATCTACAAATCAAAGGTGTCAAAAAACATGAAGAGCTTGATCTAGCAAATCTTCAGGTTCTACAAATTTCACAATAAGAGAAAACAAAACTTATAAGTCTTATTTATTAACTTTTCCACTTCATGTTCTGTAAATGATACTTACTTGTATTGATATAATGCTTCAACATTGCATCAGTACAAAGTCTATAACAATAATATAGACAGATTATATAATTATGAAGATAATGCTTTAAATGCCAAAGAAAATTATCAATTTTAAACACGATGATCAACTCATAAACACTGATCATATACTATGCTATAAATTCACAAATACTATTTGAAAATAAATATGGTTGATTCATATAATTTCAAATATAATACTTCTAGAAACAAAACCAAAACAGTCTTAGTTTAGATATGGCCAATTCAACAAAACCGATTACTTGCTTTGTAATATGTCATTTCTAATGGTACATGTCCAAATTATAAACATGGATAACATTCACAGATCTAAGTGCACTTCATAAGAAAGGACTCGTATATCATAATCTGAAAATGAGATTTGATATTTGTCAATTACAGCATGCATCATGTGTTTTACAACTGTTTCAAGATATTAAATAAAGTTAAATACTCTAGGTGTGGTTAACATACCTAATGAGCTCAAATATTTCTGGTTTATCCCTTTCTCTGATTTTCATTCTCTCCTTCATAGCCATGATGATGTTGTTGGCTTTGTCTTCTGCTCCATGTTTTGAACTTTTTTCTGCAGCTCCTGTTAAAACAAATATATCTTTGAATTTTCATCTTTAATCCCCAAAACAACTGGAACTGAATATCCATGTCATAATATAAAACAATAATACATAATATAGTTTATAAAACCTAATTTTATTCCAACCACCTGTTTAGAAAGAAGTATATAATGTACAACACATAGAACAGTTATGATCACCGAGTTCACCATTTTCTGTGCCCTCCCACATAGGGCATGATTTCTGAAAAATCACAAAATGTGTCAAATTACCTTGACAATAAAACGATTAGTAAATACAACCACAGAAAATAACTAATTGGAAAATGGAGGATTGAACTCGAAAGATCTGTTTCATAAATGCATATTTTGTTGTATTTCTAATTGACATGACCTTTTCTTTGCGAATTATCTTTTTTTTTGCTTTATATTTGTTTTAATGGATTTGAATTTCCACCTGTAATTATGAACCACCCGTTTTATCCTGTTTTTTCTAAAACTAACACTTAATATTAAAATATTTAAGGGACTTCATATGAATCTACAGCTTACACCTAATTTTTTCACCTTTTCAAAACAATACATGTGAGATTCCATATATACAAGCTAGAATTAGTTATTTGTAGCAAAAAAAACAGAAACTACATGCAATGATCAATATTAAAAACTTGCTACATATATTTGCAAAAATAAAAACAAATCAAGCTTGATCAGTCAGCTGTTATATAGCATCGAACATAGAATTAATTAATTTATCTATAACATGTTCAAATATAAGAAAATAATAAGTTAAGACACAAGTGACTGTGAAAGTTTATGAAAACAGAGGTATGTGCAGAAAACAAAATATAAAAACCACATATAAAAGTGAAAAATCAAAAGAAATTGATAAGTTATGTATATGAAAGCACAAAAATAAAATAAAACATGTTAAGATAGTGCCAAAACCAAAAAAACTGATAAGTCTGCTAAACTAATGAAACTAAGTCAATTATATCTAACAATGCAAAGACAAAATTAATAAGTCATTTGAAATATAAGTATGAAAACTTGAAAGTGACAACTCAGCTAACTATAACTACAAAAAACAGATTAGTTTTAAACACCAGAAACACAAAATAGATTAATGTACAAAAAGTTACATAAAATCACCAAACAATAAAACTGAAATAGAAAACTTTAAACATTCACTAATGAGTATAAACTTAATAATAAAAGTACTATAATTCAATTAACAATAAAATATCATACTTTGTAGACAGTCTGCATTCAACAAGTCCTTACACTTCTCGTGACATTTGACTCCACATTCTGTACAGCGCACACCCTGTCTAGCTATTCCCCAGAGTAAACCTTCACATTCATAGCAGTAGGTTGGAGATGTAGCAGTCCAGGGTTGAAAGTTGTGAGGAGTGGTGCTGGAAATTGGGTATATCAATGCCTGTAACGTCTTCTTGTATACGTGCATTTTCTGTGAATACAGATAGAAAAGTGTCTAATTCGAAACTGTTTCAAAATACAAAAAATCCTAAGACTGGTTTCAATTCTTGTAACAATGACAAGTTATTTTATATACATGCATTGTTTGTGAATACAGATATAAAAAATGGAAACTGGTTTAAAACACAAAGATAAAACTTAAAATTATTTTGATATTTTTTAACTTACGTTTTTTAAGTTTTAAGAAAAAATCTTCTATTATCGGAGAAAAAATAATGAGTCCATAAACAGGAAAAGCTATTAACATGTGTTACTACCAAAACTGGAAAACACATATTCAGCTATAAACAGTAATGATTAGAACTTTGAACTTCTAGCACAGTGAAAACCTATACTAACCAATTCTTCATCATTTAATGACTGTCGAGGTACCACAGATGTCAAGCCAGCATTTCTCTTAGTTGCAGCCATGGTCTAAGGGGATCGAAATAATTTTTTTTCATACAAGTGTAAAGTATAACCATGCTTTAGTTACTTTACTATTAAAATTAATTGCTTTGTCAAACTTCCAAGATTAAGTAGCATAATGTTCGTCCCAAATCATTTGAGAACTTGTATTAACTTAAATTAGAAACAGATTTACAAACTTGTTGTGTTAACTTCTAAAACATGAATTAAAATCTTAGATTTTTTTACATTGAAATTTATTCTTTCAAAACTAATTTTTTAGTTCTTAAGTATAAGATCAAACTCATAAAAAAGATTCTGATTATTTGTGTGTCAAATTAAAATAAGCAAATAACATAAGATATAGGCACTGCATAGGTATACATCAAATTGGGCTTCATTATACCCCCTAGGATATACACACAATTCTACTAAGTTATATTAATAACCTAAGAACGTAGTTTAAATACAATATATTCTAATATTTACAAGTATATTAGCAGCTTTACAGGTAATAGCAAATTAAAATGATTTGTAAACTATACCGATACATTGATGGTGTAACGTGAAATAAAAATTTCATATTTTGACTCCATATTCAATAAATAACTTTTTTATTCTTGAATATGAAATTTATAAGAAAATATAACTGTTATAATGAGCAAGAAATGTTACATCATGCAGAAAATATACCGAAGCATGCAGTTACTTAAAATTCTTCGAAGAAGATAGATGTTCACGTAATGACACTTAATAAGACAAATACCTTGAGAACCTGAGCCACAGGAAGCAACAAGAAAATGGAAGAAAACACCAGCAGAGAGTTATTTCATTATACACAGAAATAATTGGAATCATCAATACAACTATGTTATAAACATTTGCTGTTAAGATTCAATAACAAGAAACCTGTATCGCTACAGTTAAATAAATATTAATATAGCAACAAATGTAATTTAAGTCTGTTGGTATTACCACAAAGTTGAGATGTTTAATAATGTTTGTATGCATAAGTATATTAAAACTTTTGATAGAACGCAAGATGGATTTATTTTATAAGTATGTAACTGAATCTCAAAAAATATTTAATTTTTTGCATATGTTTAATTAAATAGATGTTAATTATAAAAACAACAAAGGGAGAAAAATAAAATTTACACTGAAAATCATTATTTAATCTGAACAATAAACACAAATAGAACGGTGAATACCTTAAAATAAATAACTA